TGGACGACTCCCAAGGAGAAGACCAAAGAACAGATCGGAGAGATGATTATTTTGGAGCAATACCTCAAAATGGTCAATCCTGAGCTTCGGAGCTGGATCCTGGAGCGCAACCCAGCTACAATGGACCAAGCAGTCGACCTAGCGGAGGCCTACACTATGGCGGACATGCAGAGGGATTATATCAGCTGGCAAAAAGCAGCAGAGAGAGATGCCAGAACAGAGAGCCTGGGGAGTCTGGGGGTGTGGTCTGGGGTGGTTCAATGGCACAGGTTTTTAAACCATCCAGCAGAGGTCACCCAAGTTTTAAATTTGCCAGAGGAAAAAACAGCTCAGTGAACAGCACTAAGGCTGATGCAGGAAAGGTTTTAAAGTGTTTTTACTGTAATGAGCCAGGATACAGGGTAAATGCGTGCCTAAAGCTCAACAGCGGTATAAACCAGTTATGCTACAGCCCTAGAAATAACACTGTCTCCATAAATAACGAACCTAAAGACACCCTTGTAAATGTCAAAGTTGCTGGTATAAAGCAAAAAGCACTAATAGACACGGGGGCCAGTCAGACGCTAATTTTGGCTTCGTGCTTACCTAAAGGGGAATTGAAACAGACCGGCCAGTTAAAAGTCATATGTGTACACAGTGATAAGCAAGTGTATCCAACAGCTGATGTTAGCTTAGAGATTGAAGGGCAAAAGTATTTGCTGACAGTGGGGATCGTGCAAAAATCCCCCTATAAGGTCATTTTGGGTAGAGATGTACCAGTTTTAATTGACCTTTTAACCGAAAAACAAAGCAAAGCCAAGGTCTTGGTTACTACAAGGCAAAGTGCTAAAAGGGAAAGGCATAGCAATGTAGAAGCCTTAAAAGAATTACCTTTTAGTGAAGCATCCAAACAAAAGAAAACTAAAAGGGAGAGAAGGCAAGCTAAGGTGCAAGGCACCAAAATCAGTGAAAGCATCCCAAACCCAGATACTAATCTAAACTTACCTATGCACAACTTTGCACAGCCGCAAAAACTGGATGACACATTAAAGCCCCTGTTTATTAAAGCAGAGACAGGAAAATTTGAAAAAGGAGGTTCTTTCATTGTGAGAGACGACATCCTCTACCGGACAAAAGGAGAGCAAGAACAGCTTGTGGTGCCAAAAGAGTTAAGGGCTGAAGTTTTAAAACTGGGTCATTCTGAACTGTGGGCAGGCCATTTGGGAAACGCGAAAACGTTAAGCCGCATTTCTAGTAGGCTTTATTGGCCAGGGCAGCACCTAGAGCTTTTGGGTTATTGCCGGTCATGCCCAGAATGTCAATTAACAGCCCCAACCAAAAAATCTGATAGAGCACCCTTAATTAACCTACCGATAGTGGAGGAAACGTTTTCAAGGACAGCGATAGATATTGTGGGAGAATTGCCATGCAGCTGCTCTGGCAATAGGTACGTACTCACAATATGTGATTTTGCCGTGCACTATCCTGAAGCCTTCCCATTAAGAAAGGTAAAAACAAGGCAATTGGTTAATGCTCTCATCCAGTTTATCTCCAGAGTAGGAGTACCTAGAGAGATTTTAACAGACCAAGGTACCAATTTAACTTCAAAGCAGCTGAGGGAAGTTTATAACCTGCTGGGTATTAAAGGCATCTGGACTACCCCATACCATCCACAGACAGACAGACTAACGGAACATTTCAACAAAACCTTAAAGACTGCTCAGGCGTTTTGTTAACGAGACCGGGTCCGACTGGGATACATGGCTGCCTTATGTCTCGTTCGTGTACCGGGAGGTACCGCAAGCATCAGTGGGGTTCTCACCATTCCAGATGCTCTACAGACGTGAGGTTTGAGGCCCACTGGATGTGCTGAGGGAGACCTGGGAGGGGCAGAACGATGGACAGAAAATGAATGTCCTCTCCCATGTCCTCAAAATGAGAGAGAAAATGGTAGACTTAAGCTGGCACATGAGAACTTGGAGCAAGCCCAAGAGTACCAAAAGAGCTAGTACGACAGGTCAGCAAAACACTGGACACTTAAACCCGGCGACAAGGCATTGGTCCTTTTGCCGACATCAGATACCAGTTTGTTGGCAAAGTGGCATGGACCATATGAAGTTTTGCGCCAGATTAATCAGACAACTTATGAACTGTTGCATCCGGACTGCAAAAAGACAAAACAAACTTCCCACATCAACATGTTACGACAGTGGAAAGAAAGGGACCAATCCACTGCAGAACACCTGTGCGTGCGCGCTGTAGGAGAGGAGGAGGAGAGCATTGAACAGTATTTCCCTTCTAACAGCAAACACCAAGACGAACTGTTAACACTGGACCACTTAACAATGGAGCAGCGAGAAGAGCTCAGGAACATCATTCCTGATGGATTGTTTAGTGAAGAACCAGGGAGGACCACAGCAATCCAGCACGACGTCCACCTGCAAAAACACGACCCAATCTGGCAGGTGAATTGTCGGGTGCCTGCAAGACTCATCACGAAGTTTAAAGAGGAGGTCAGTAAGATGCTTGACATGGGCATCATAGAACTCTCTACCAGTCAGTGGTGCAGTCCGGTGGTTTTAGTCCCAAAGAAAGATGACGAACTGAGGTTTTGCATGGACGAGCTCATTGAACTTGAAGCCAAGTTTTATCAACAGTGGACTTATGCAAAGGGTATTGGCAACTACCGCTTACAGAGTTAGCCAAAGAGTTGACCACATTCCGGGCTCCAAATGGACTGTTCCATTTTTCTGTTATGCTTTTCAGACTCCATGGGGCGGCGACTACTTTCCAGAGGCTGATAGACGCAGTACTCAAAGGGATAGAGGACTTCGCAGCATCATATTTTGATGATGTCGTCATTTATAGTGGAAGTTGGCAAGAACATCTGCATCATCTGGAAACGGTGCTGGGGAAGATACGGGTAGCAGGGCTAACAGCTAACCCTGGGAAATGCCACCTGGTGAAGGGGATGGTGTCCTATATAGGCTATGTCCTAGGGGGAGGAGCTATTAGACCACAAGTGGATAAGGTGCAAGCGATAAAGGAGTGCCCGATACCGACCACAAAGAGGCGAGTAAGATCGTTCTTGGGCTTAGTGGGCTGGGACCGAAGGTTCATCCCAAATTTCACTGACTGAGCGGCACCTCTCACAGACTTAACCAAGAAGGACCAACCTCAGAGAGGCAAATGGACAGAGGAGTGCAATTCTGCTTTTAATGATCTTAAAGACTGTTTGTGCTCCGATCCAGTTTTAGGCAGCCCAGATTTTAGCAAACCTTTTGTGGTTAAAACTGATGCTTCAGGTAATGGGCTAGGGGCAGTTTTACTCCAAGGGGAGTAGGACAGCCGAAGACCGATCCTGTACATTAGCTGCAAGCTATTTCCAAGGGAGAGAAAGAGGCTCTGGCAGTGAAATGGGCGCTAGACTCTCTTAAGTACTACCTTATGGGCAGCGATTTTGTTTTAGAGACTGACCATAGAGCGCTGAAATGGATGCGCCAAATGAAAGACACCAATGCACGGACTACGCGCTGCTACCTGTCATTACAACCATTCTGTTTCAAGGTACAATACCGTAAAGGTAAGGACAATGTCACGGCGGACTTCTTATCCTGCCACTTGGACAGTGACTGAGATAAGGGGGGGGGATCTGTGATGTGGTAAGGCGAGGCCTACCCCATCACCAACGAATATCAACCCTTGAACTATAAAACACGTGTGTGTATAGGAGGTACTTACCTGTGTCTGCCTGTGAAAGGGAAAATAGTAAAAGGGGGACAGCAGGGAGACCTACTTACCTTATCCTTATCGGGAGGATCCACCGATGGGGAGAAAAGAGGGGGGAAGTTGTTTTAAGTTAATGGCCAAGAAAATGTATATACCTGTAATGAACTGTTTAACCTAGGTTGATTGTATATAGCGCTATCGCTTGTTTCATGTGTAAACCACACTGTTCTGACCTCATGGTGGGGAAAGGGTGGGGCTTTAGACTTAAGGGTAGGCTACTTCTCCCCATGACTCTGTTTGCCACCGGAAAACACTAGCAGCTTGTAGTGTCGGAAGTAATAGTGTGGGGGAAGTTGTAAAGGGAGTTGGGACCCAGCCTCGCGGCTGCTTCCCATTCCATGACTAAGCCCGACGCACACTGTAAATACTTTCTTTTACGTTTATTTTTCCTTTTGTACAGTTTTTGTTTCCTGTTTTCACATTGTATAAATAAACTACTTGCTTGTGCACTTTACTTTTGGTCCTGCCCATCCTATTCGTCGTCTCACCCTCGCAGGCCTTACCAGTAAGCCACACGTAAAACCCAAAATCCTCTTCTCAGGGTTTAACATCTTCACATGGATGTTTTTGGGGTCCATGGGGGTCCTGACCACTGAAGAACAAGGTAACTCAGTACGCAGAGAAACAGATGGTCTACAGTCTGTAACTGTAGAACTACAGAGTGAAACTATACGGTCAGTGGAGCTGATAGAATGGACAGTGATGGTGTATATTTATGAGTGTCAGAGTTAAGGCACTGATGCGTTGATGAAACTGTCTCTGACTTGTTTTTTTGTTGTGATGGTCGGTGTGTAACCGCAGAAGGAAGTAGGTGTGGGTGTTAGGCTTCTTATTTTTAATCTGCTGAGTCACTGGAGAGGGGCTAGTTTACAGCTAAATCTTCCTTCAGCTGTCAGAATGAAGCTCTTTCACTTTAGCCTTTTCCGGTGCTGTAGCTCTGTGATGGAGGATATTCAAAACATACAAACCAACTCAGAACTTAACAATGCCATCTGATGTAAATAAGACACACGGCCCATGTTAGTTGGTGAAAATAAGTGGAAAAATACATCTATAACCTCCTCATTCAGAACGTCCAGCATACTGGACATTTTACCCCAGGTATTCTAGCTCTGTCGAAGCAGGTACGTCACCACAGTCACTTCTGTGAGTTTCTAAAGAACTCAGTCGTTCTATTGGTTTATCATTTATTAGAAATTTTTCTTTTTTTTATTCATAAACAAAAACAAACATGCACCTTAAATGGTGCAGTTTTTACATTCTGGTGCCATTTAAGGTGGAACTGAAAATTCAAATAAGAAGCTGGTAAATAAGAAACAGAAGTTTGCTCGGCTGTATTTTTCTCATTTTGGATGTTTTGGTGTAAAATAAAAAAATGCTAAAGCTCCACAGTGAGAGGAGTGATCAACAATAAAGCAGAACAGGAGCTCAAACATCACGACAGAATGACACTAAACCCAAAAAAGAAATTAGGGACTAAATGACTAAAATAGAACTGAGGATAAAATAGGTTACTTTACTCGCTATTATACTGAAACAGAAGTAAAATACTCATGTAAAAGTACTTGAGTAGTATTAGTACTCAGAGAAGTACAAATGAATTTTTTTGTTTAAGTAATTATGACTGAGTAAAAGTAACGTATTATTGCACACCTCTGCTCTTCATTAGCTTCATTCCTGCATAATTAAGTGGTTAAGATGTAAACAGAGTCATTCAGAGTGGTTTGGTGTGAAACGCTCTGTTCTAGAGAAACTTACCAAGTCAGAACTGTTCACAGTGGTGGTGATAGGAACCAGACGTCCACCTCTAAAAGCTCCCTCACAGAAAGTTACTACATAAAATGGTTATGAATTCACTGCCTGATGACTGAGACACTGTTTTATGATAGTTTAGAGAGCTTAAACTCCATTCATGGTGGAGGGATACATGCAGGGCGCTGTGAAGCAAAATAGTCCCCAAAGAAAACTTATTATTTCAGATTTTCCACTATTTTCCATCATCAGCATTCCATATAAACTCAGAAGACTCGTGTAGGTTCACTGGTGGTTCTGGATACTAAATAAAATGTCTATATTTGTGTTGTAGTCATGGCGACCCCTGGTTCCTATCAGCACCACTATAAAGACATCTGAACCGTTTCACACCAAACCACTCTGAATCTCTCTGTTTACATCTCAGGCATTGAATAATCAGTGGAATCCCCTTAAGGTGGAAAACATAGATAGAAACTTTATTAATTCTAATAGAAAGTGGCATAAAATGGAAGTAATGCCCTGTAGTTGTGAGTCGCTGACCTAAAGTGACCCCAGTGTCCGTGTTATTCACTGTAAAGTTCCTATGGAAGTCTTTTGGAAATGTCAATATGGACGTCCATCAGTGAGCTGGAGTCTCCGTGGGTCATACCAAGTCTGTGAGAGTGAGCGGAGCGTGTGCCCCCTCAGCAGTGTGCATGGTGAGGAAGTGTGTCCAGTTGTGCATGAAGCCGTGCGAGGGCGCGCCGGTGTCCACCAGCAGGCCGCAGAACCGCCTGCGTCCGGTTCCATTCCGAAGAGCCAGCTGGACCTCGCGCTCCGTCACGTTGCAGCTGATGTTGATGATCTGCAGGATCAGCAGGTGCAGCAGACCCCCCGTTATTATACAGCTGTACCACACACACGTAAAACACAGAGCCGTGCTGAACACACACACACACACACACACACACACACACACACACACAGACAGATCAGAAAGTGTTAAAACCCCAGAGAAAAACTATGACACGCTGAGAATAGAGTAAATCCGCTTTAACCCCCTGGAGCTGTATTACAGAAACATCCTATCTTTTGTCCTAAGTTAATATCTGACAAGTTAAGATAAGATTTTTCACTAATTCATATTACAGACGCAAATATCATCTTAATTTAGGAATCTTATCTTACAGCATCTTATCTCCAGTTAGGAAATCTAAACTTACTCGATTAAAGTCGACAAACAACTGTCATGTCTGTCGCAGAGCAACACACAGCTGAAACGTAAACATGTGATCAAAATAATTCAGTTAGTTATCCAGACAGCTACAGTTACTGATGTGTAGAAGATCAAAGAAAACTAAAGTGTAAAAACTGTAAGTAGTCAATACTGTGAGAGCGCCCCCTGCTGTTTATCAGTTAGGACGCTGTTGGGGTTCATCCTAAAGTTAGGACAGGATTTAGGAGGTTTAGTCTAGTTAGGATGTTTGTGTGATGCTGTTTTCTTATCTGGAGTTAATGATGAGATTATGAAGTTACAGTAATAAGATTATGAAGTGTGTTATGAGTGTGTTTGTTATGTGCATGTGAATATTATGTGTGTGAGTAATATGTGAATGTGTGCATTATCTGTGTGTATGATGTATTGGTGTGTGTGTTGTGTGTGTGTCTGTGTGTGTGTGTGTGTGTGTGTGTGTGTGCATATACCTGTACTGGTTGTTGACCCCAGGGCAGTACAGTGTGTATTGTGTGTGTGTATGTTATGCCTGTGTGTGTGTGTGTGTGTGCATGTACCTGTACTAGTTGTAGACCGCGGGGCAGTACAGTGTGTATTGTGTGTGTGTATGTTATGGCTGTGTGTGTGTGTGTGTGCATATACCTGTACTGGTTGTTGACCCCGGGGCAGTACAGGGTGTATTGTGTGTGTGTATTATGAATGTGTGTGTTACGTGTGTGTATGTGTACCTGTACTATGAATGTATGTGTTTATTACATGTGTGTGTGTGTACCTGTACTGGTTGTAGACCCTGGGGCAGTACAGTGTGTATTGTGTGTGTGTGTTATGAATCTGTGTGTGTTACGTGTGTGTACCTGTACTAGTTGTAGACGCCTGGGCAGTACAGTATGTATTATATGGGTGCGTATGGTGTGTGTGTGTGTGTATTATGAATGTGTGTGTGTTACATGTGTGTATGTGTGTGTACCTGTACTGGTTGTAGACCCCTGGGCAGTACAGCAGAGCAGTGAACACACTCTGCCGTGGACACACACTATGCAGCACCATGCTGATCCCATACAGTGATGTCAGCAGGAAGAGGAGGAGCGTCAGCAGGAAGTGCCTGTGATTGTCCTGCCCCACACAGCAGTTTATCCTAATACAGCAGCGCAGACACACAGAATCAGTTACTGCTTATTAGCACGTTAACTCTTCTTCTACATCTGGCTTTACACGGTCAAACTGTCATGCAACTTCATTTCTGACACAAAGCAATTAAAACTAATTAAAGTTTCACGCAACACAATTGATTACTCCGCTGGTTAGCCAAATTAGCGGCTTGTATTTTTATCATATTTTTCTCTTTTTTTCATCGTATTTCTGCATAGGCAAATGGTTTAATTTCAAACCAAATCAGAGTGGTTTGGTGTGAAACTCTCTGTTCTGGATAAGCTCCCTCACAGAAAGTTCCTACATGAAATGGTTATGAATTTACTGCCTGATGACTGAGACACTGTTTTATGATAGTTTTAAGAAGTTATCGGCCTTGAACTCCATTCATGGTGGAGCGACACATAATATGCAGGGCGCTGTGAGGCAAAATAGTCCCCAAAGAAAACGTATTATTTCAGATTTTCCACTATTTTCCATCATCAACATTCCATATAACCTCAGAAGACAAAATCAGGGAAATTTCCCTTTAAAGAAGATTTACTTTACTGCTAAATCTGCATCCAGGGACCATTGGAGTGACCAGTTGAATGACCGAAAGAAAGTATGGACAGACAGACAGCAGGCAGACGGATGAGCTACCTTGATAGCTCTGTCATGCTTGTTAGTTTAGCTTTCTGACACAGAGCGAACATGGTTTAGTTAAAGCTGTGTGGGTGTGGCAAACCACATCAGCCTTGTGATTGGTGGGGATACTACCGAAGATTAGGGCCGTCCATTTTAAATCAGAGCAGATTTTTTTGGCGAAATAAATCAGTACATTTCGAATACTGAGCACTGAAGAGTTATACACAGGATATACTTTGTACATTGTGTTCCCACGAGAGCAAGATTAACCTACTTAGAAAGAAAATACAGTTTTAGGTTCCCTGGGGCTTTAATGCTCCCTAGCTGGCCCACCAAATCTGTAACCAGGCCCCCCTAAAATGAAATTCTGGCTAGGCTGTTGGTGTGTGTGTATGAGTATCAGTCTGTAACAGATTGGCCTGGTGTGCATCTCCAGGCTGAAGACTGAACTCCTGTGGCCTTCACACATGTTTCCCCTGCCAAACTGCTCTGGTGACGTCTTCTGGGAATCAGCGTGTATGAGTAACACACGGAAAAGGGAGAAGTCGCACTGTAAGGTGTTTAAACCAGCGTGGAATCTGGGGCTGTATTACAGAAACGTCCTATCTTTTTGTCTTAACTCACAAATTCGTATTACAGAAGCAAATCTGATCTTAATTCAGGAATCTTATCTTACAGCATCTAATCTCAAGTTAGGACAGCTTAACTTACTCAATTGAAGTCGACAATCAGCTGTTGTGTCTGTTACCTAGCAACCGACCATACAAACGGTCTGCAATCATGTGTTGCCCAGGCAACGTAGTGTAAATTATTAAAAATGTTTGTGATATGAAAATTGGAGTGTTACATTAAACATCCAGCAAAGATTTACATCATAGAAATATAATAAAACACGGCTGATTGACAGCCTGCTTCAGCACGTAGCAGTAAACATGTAATCTAGTTAGCCAGACAGCTAACCTTAGCTACCGTTACTGATGTAAAAAACACATCAAATTAAACTAAAGTGTGATAAACTGAGAGTGCAGAATATTGTGAGAGCACCCCCTGCTGTTTATCAGAGCGTCGCCGCTCCCCAGTTTCAGTCTCCATTTCCCAAACGCTTTAGCCGAGCGCGCTAACGTTACTCCTCCTAATAAACAGACACACGTTCAGCTCCGTCTCCTCATTATTCACCACCATCACTGTAATATTTCATCATCAACATTAACACACGAAGGTAATCAGAGGGGCGGTGGAGATCGAGTCTGCAGCGTCTGAGAGCTTAAAAAGGCTGTTTAAAAAACTCACAAGTCAAAGCACCGTTTTCAGTGTAGATACATGCAGCGTTATAATACTGGTTATAGTGAACTGTGCTGCCTGTCACTGCATATAACAATAGAAACAGACAGTTAAACAGAAATTAAAACGCTCTTGGTTTATCTTACAGTTAGGAAAATATTTACGATTTTTTGGCAACTTGGGATGTTTCTGTAAAACCGTTTTCTTATCTGGAAATAAGATAAAATTATAGACTTAAGAACTGTTGTTCTGTAATGGCTTCTGGCACAAATTTTTTTGCCCTAATGTGACTCAGATCTGATGTTTTCAGGGCTGTGAGGACACGCAAATCTGATCTTTTCAAATCTGACCTGAGCTACTTTCATATGTGGTCCTAGATCGGATACGTATCCGATTCATGGCCATGTGACCTTAATGTGACGCTCAGATCGGGATTTATGTGCTTTTTTCCACTGTGCCGTCATTCAGCGTTACCATGGCAGCAGCGCCGAACAGAAGTTACAGCCTGTAAACGGTGGAAAAGCAGCTCATCTCACCTTTTTCTCTTTCGTCTCGCTCTAATAATGAAGCTGAGAGCTGATCAGAGTTAATTATCTTCTCAGCGAAGCTCGTTCTGCTCGTTAGTTTGTGCTGATGATGCAGTGATTCATTCACGTGACGTTACTGAGTAGGATGAGCTCATGAGGGTCATTTCAGGATGCCGGTTCACGTTAATGACAGATTTGAGTCACTGACCTAAACGAGTGTGAACCATCATCAGAGAGATCGGATTTGAGCAAAAAACGAGGCTTGTAATGTGAACGTAGCCTAAGTGGCTCAGGTCAGATTTGAAAGGATCAGATTTGTGTGTCCACACAGATCTGAGTCACATTAGGGCAAAAAAATCAGATTTGTGCCTCTCCAACCTGCTAATGTGAACATAGCCTTAGTGAGTGATTCAAAAACAGGTGAAGAGACGTGCATGAACAGCGAAGCGGAGACAGAGGAGCTGCGTGTAAACACAGGCAGATAAGAGCCGATATCATGATTATAATGTATAGATCCAGACATCAAGGTACTCTTTTTACAGTTTCAGCTCAGCTGCAGTTTATTTCTCCAGCTCTCTCTGCGATATCAGCCTTTCTCACCTCATATTCATCCCCAGTTTGAGCTTTCACTACACATAAAAGCACAAACAGGTCCAGTGAGTTCAGCTCTGTGTGTGTCGTGTGATCTGAGGAGATCTGGGAGTTTGAGTTCTTAATCGTAGCTGAAACCCATTATGTGTGTTATATTATGTAACAGTCAGTTCCGGCCACGCGAGCTGATTGGTTGAGAAGTGTTCTAACTGTGCTGTTATTTCACCATAACATCACGGGGTTGTCACAAACACTGTATCACTCCTCTGAGACGCCGTTGGTAAGCAATGACTTTGACAGCTGTAGGAGACGCTCAAGCCATTTGAACGTTTTTACTTCCTACTTTGCCACAAACAAAAAATGGACACTTTTAAGATCACGTTTGACCGACAGCCGATTTGGTCAGACTCTGAAGATGAGACGACACTAAATTCCCAAACTGTCAGTTGTTCTATGTGGGGCTGGAGAACGAACTGCCGGCTGAGCAGCGAGTGGGCGGAGCTTGTTACTCTGATGTAGCAACAAGCTGCTCGTTAAGGAACTATAATTGGTGAAGGAACTGCGAACATTAAAACATATTAAACGCCGCGTTCACGGCCCAGTTTATTAATTTATTACTTTATTTATTTAACTGTTGTATAAAAGCAATAGAACACTCGAGGAGTGTGTTATCGCCAATAACATCACGGCTGTGATGATCTACAGCAACCAAATCACAGCCGCGATGTTATTCCGCGATAACACACTCCCTCTTGTGTTCTATTGCTTAACTGTCTCTTTGCCATGTCGTTCTAGTCTGAGCGCCTTATGACAACACAAGAAACTCTGTGACTGACGTTAAGCGTGTGATGCTCTTTGGTTTAGAAATCTGTTAAGATTTTAAAAGTCGTGTAGTGAACGCTCAGCCTAAGTTAGCTCCCTTGCATGCAAACTGCTCGGGCAACAATCTGTCCCGTAAATCTATCTCGATTCCATGTATTCAACTTTTTGAAGGGGTTCTTTCTAAGCTTGCTGCGCTCCACACTGCCTCACAACGTAGCAATTGTGATGGACATACGAAGCAGATACAAAGTTCAGGGGGCTGAGAGGATCAATGTGGAAAAGAAATGGACTCTCTGGGGTGGTGAATTTGGGAATACCCACCAGACACAATGATGGTCCATTCTTAGCACGCATACTCCACAGATCCTGCAGTGACCCGCCCTGGGTGGACGCACCAATCGGCAGATGGAACACCACTTCATCTTCTTTTCCACAGCACTCTCTGATTGGCTGACTCCATTGCAGTGGGCGGAGTCTTGATTACAGAGTTTGCTCTGATTGGCGGAGGTAATATTGTGTCTGTAGTCTGCTCGGACGTATCCCGGACCCTGTTTGGTGCGAACGAGGGAGATGAGCATCAGTATCATGCCGGTTGTCGCGGTAACTACTTGCTGGTAACTTACGCCCCCCCTAGGCACGATTTCGGTGATGAAAAGGTAGTACATGTAGGCGAGGGAGAAGAGCGCCAGGCTGAGGAAGAAAAGCGTTCGCCTCTTCTTGCGGTGTGTCATGTAATAATACCACAGTACGAGTCCCGGCAGGGCCGTCAGGACCACGACTCCCAGCATGCAGTGCAGCGCCGCCACCTGCAGCAGGACTGGAAGTAGGAGCATTGGAGGCAGGATGGACAGTTCAACGCGGACGGATCCCAGAGGGGAACACTGAAGACCCAAACGATCCGAGAGAACGGAGAGAAGACGGGAGAGAAAGTCCTCATTCTTTGAATCCCTTTGAATGAGCCTGAGAGAGAAAAAGAAGTTAACAATAAAAAAGAAACACATGAAAAAAATCATTAAGGACTGCACTAATTAACTGCTGATGGTGATGATTTTAAAAATAAGTTCATGTGTTCATTTTATGCAATCAAAACAGCTCTATAATGTTCATATGATCCACACGGTCACTCTGACAGACTGTAATACACTACAGGAAGTGTAGGGGGCGATATGGCTTCTACTGTTTCATTTAAAAAGCCTCTATAATGTTCATATGATCCACACAGTCACTCTGACAGACTGTAATACACTACAGGAAGTGTAGGGGGTGATATGGCTTGTTCCAGTGCACCATCATAAAAGTAATTGCTTGTAAAACAAAACTGGTGGGAAATTAAAAAAATATATAAAAAAAGACCAAAAGAAATGAAGAAATAAAATGAACAAGAAAAAAAGACTGCATCATGCAGACCACAGTAGAATAGAAGACTGAATAGTTCAAACTGGTATAAAGCACCAAAGACTTTATTACAGCAGTAAAGAGCATGCTGCCACTTCAGTGACCTTTGACCCTGACCTTTCACAGGCATCGTCCAGTTCCTCACAGTCACAGCAGCAGTACTCCCTCTGCTGGTCAATGTCTCCACAGCAGCAGAACGGATCGTCTGGCTCTGGGGGTTTAAAGCGCTCTCGCTTCATCCTGACCGTCCTGGCCAACAGGGGGTGCCAGGCGCATACAGCTCAGTCCGCACAGGTCAGAACAGCTTCATAGTGTTACAGCTGTGGATTAGAGTAGAAATGATGAAATATATGTGAGTCAAACGTGTATTTACATCAGTAAGCTCACTGGCCACTTTATTAGAAACACACCTTGTGCTTCCACTCTCTGGCCACATTTTTAGAAACACTTACCTTGTGTTTCCAATAACTGGCCACTTTATTAGAAACACCCACCCTGTGCTTCCAATAACTGGCCACTTTATTAGAAACACCTACCTTGTGTTTACAATAACTGGCCGCTTTGTTGGAAACACCTACCTTGTGCTTCCACTCACTGGCCACTTTATTGGAAACACCCACCTCGTGCTTCCACTCACTGGCCACTGTATTGGAATCACCCACCTTGTGCTTCCACTTACTGGCAACTTTATCAGAAACACTTATAGCTCCACTATATAGGTGTACATTTCCAGATTGCAGTCCATCTGTTGCTGCACAGTTTGATCTGCTGACCACTGATGAAGGACTAGAGGATGCCTAACACAAACTGTGCCTCAGCAGATGGGCTACAGTCTCTAACTGCCCACCAATGAGGGAGCGGTTTCTGATAAAGTGGCCAGAAAGTGTTTTAAATGCCAGTTAGCACTGAACACATGTTGATGTTAGCATTTTTGAGCTGAGTCAGAGGAGGTAGCTGTCATATGAGCGCAGCTTCGGCAACATGACACCGCTAACCGTGTTAGTTACTTTATATAGAGAGCACATCCACCAGTAATGAACCAGATTAGCGAAGCAGCAGAGTGCTTGAATGTCATTCAGTGTAACTGAGCTCACAGTGCTCTGGAAAAGCGTTAGACCAGACAAGAATAGATAGATAGATAGATAGATAGATAGATACATTTATTTGGCACTCATATAAAATACATATAAGACTGCATTCATACAAACATTTAAAAATGATCAAGGATTAAAACACAATAAAGCCTATAGGCTTTATTTAAATTGTGGTCCTCATAAAAGATAAAAGTCAGCCAAGAAGATTTAAAGTTCCTCTCAAATTAATTCCACAGAACTGCAGCCATATCAAAAATATATTTGTAACTGTTAAATCTAAAAAAATCAAACTTTCTGAATAATTTATATTATAATTTATAAATTATAGTAATTTATATTTTACATATTTAATTATAATGATTTATAACTTTTTGCATAATCTAATCTAATCTAATCTAATCTTTCAGTGTGTGTGATGTAATCAGAGTGATTCAGAGTGGTTTGGTGTGGAATGGTTCAGATGTCTTTACAGTGGTGGTGATAGGAACCAGGGGTCGCCATGACAAATATAGACACGCTACAACACAAATATAGACATTTTATTTACTATCCAGAACCACCAGTGAACCTACACTGTTAGTAATAAAGGTTCTGTTCAGGTACATTTTTTGTTCATCAAGGTACAAACAGTGTAAATGTTCCCTCAAAGCTCCAACAGTGGTTTTAAGGTCTGATTGTGAACCTTAAATAAGTTTTTCCAGGTGAAAAGTTCGTATTTGTTCCTTTTCATAACCGAATGTTTTAAACAGAACAGTAAAATAAAAGCCTGGAGACGAGACGGGGTGTGTGGAGTCAGTACAGCTTAGAACATATCATTTCAGTGGATTATGGTTCAGTTATGTTCCCTGGCTAAAGGTACTGAGATGGAGCCTTGAGGGTTCCACCCCAGTGACAATTTCATTTGTGTATAATAATGTAATTTTATATGTAATGATAATAAAATACTTATAAATCCAAAATAATAAGTTTGATGAATGTATGGATTAATAAAATGGACTAAAATAGATTTAAAACTACCTTCAAATAACATCAGGCAGTGAATTCATAACCATTTCATGTAGTAACTTTCTGTGAGGGAGCTTTTAGAGGTGGATGTCTGGTTCCTATCACCACCACTGTGAGCAGTTCTGACTCAGTAAGTTTATCTAGAACAGAGCGTTTCACACCAAACCACTCTGAACGGCTCTGTTTACATCTTAACAATTTAGTCATGTAGAAGATTTGAAAAATTGGTGGAGTTCCCTTTAGGTAGGTAGTCTGGGACTAATTTATTAAGGATTTTTGAGCCTCGTTTTATGAGCCTCAGCTTAATTGAGCGGGGCTTAACTGCTGTAGGCTGATAAGGCGGATAGGTAGATGTGTTATTTTTTGTGACATCATTAAAACAGTGAGTTCATAACAGGCTGTGTTTGCAGTTTAGTTTCCTTTTACATCAAACCGTTTTATTTAAAGGGCCCATATTACAGAAAACTGAACAGCCCCCCTCTTCTTTCTGCTGCTTTATGCTGAAGTTATAAGGAGTGTTTCTGCCCTGTTTTTTGAACAAGGCACAACACAGGGCAGCTAGTTAGAACATATTTCAGTCTTAAAGGCACAGTAACAATAATAGCCTGGGACAATGACAGACTGGAAAAAGGTCATGTGAAAATAAACTGTCCCAAGTGATGAATTATAAGGTTTTTGGTGCATAAAAGTACACAAATGTTGTGAGTGGAATTCAGGGGGAAAAATAAGATGCCAGAAAAATGTCACATACAGGCCCTTTAAAAGAAAACAGGGAAAATCGTGTTTTTTATGACATTGGCCCTTTAATTGGAGTGATGAAGAGATATAATAATACCAGTATTGCAGTATTTAATGTGTGTGTTTGTGTTTATTCTAATATTAGTGTGTTATTTTCTGTGTATGATCCTGACAGTGTGTTTGATCCTGTATCAGCACAATTTCACTTCACACATGTGCTTTGATCTTCATGACAGTGAGTAGGGGGGTTATGGGGGGCTTCACAGGGGATCATTACACACACACATGTGAGCCTGCGTGTGTGTGTGTGTGACACATGTCCAACGTCAGCAACACACAGAACCTTCTGGACTGACTGCACGTCCATATGCTGCGCTGCTCACTCCTATAGGAAAAAGGGTTCTACGTAGAACCAAAAACATTCTATAACATTAAAGCAATTAATTTCTAAAGTGTAAGTTTTTCATTTTTCGGGAGATATTTCAGATGTTCCCAAAAGAACCTTTCAATGGATATCTTAGAAAAACCACTTCAGGTTCCCTAAAGAACCTTTCAGTAGATGGTTCTTGGAAGAACTACTTTGGGTTCCCTATAGAAACTCTTAGTGGATGGTTCTTAGCAGAACCCCTTTTGGTTCCCTAAAGAACCTTTCAATGGATGATTCTTAGAAGAACAAATTCAGGTTCCCTAAAGAACATTTTAATGGGTGGTTCTTGGAAGAACAAATTCAGGTTCCCTAAAGAACCTTTCAATGGATGCTTCTTGGAAGAACCACTTTGGTTCCCTAAAGAACCTTTCAAAGGATGATTCTTAGAAGAACAAATTCAGGTTCCCTAAAGAAAATTTTAATGGGTGGTTCTTGGAAAAACAACTTTTGGTTCTCTAAAAAACCTTTGAATGGATTCTTCTTAGAAGAAGCACTTTGGTTCCCTAGAGAACCTTTTAATGGAAAGACACTTTCAATGTGTAGTTCTTAGGAAAACAATTTTAGGTCCCTTTAAGAACCTTTTAATGGATGCTTTTGTTTAGCTAAAGAACCTTTGAACAGGTGGTTCAAGGAAGAACAACATTTGGTTCCCTAAAGAATCTTGCAATGTTTGAAAATATTAGCCAACTACGTTCATGCAAAGAACCTTTTATTTTTAATGAGTGTAGCTGCGTCCACCTCTCTCTCCCTCTCTCTCTCTCTCTCTCTCTCTCTCTCTCTCTCTCTCTCTGGAATCAGGGCCATCACGTCCTCCAGCAGAGCTTCAAATCAGGCTAACCTGAAGAACCGTTCCCTGAGAGAGAGCTCCATCACCACGCAGCATAATGAGTGACATTGAGTAATTCACAGAGGGCGTGTTCCAAATTACACTGGCTCCCTAGAGTGCGCACTGTAATGAGCCCTTACATGAGACCAGCCCGTGTGGAAATAGAGCTGCACTGAACTGAGTCGACTGAAATGTTGTGCATTATTTCCACATGAATTAAATATTTTACACCAACACAGTTACTGCCAATGTAAACAAACCGAAACACAGAACTGGGTTTGGAATAAATAAAAAAAATTCTGAAATAATTTTGACACATTTTAGATAAAGTCTGTTTAATGTGTTCATTTGAAGAAGCAATTACATATATATATATATATATATATATATATATATATATATATATATATAATTGCTATATATATATATATATACCAATCAGGAATAACATTATGACCACCTCCTTGTTTCTACGCTCATTGTCCATTTTTTCAGCTCCACTTACTATATAGGTGCACTTTGTAGTTCTACAGTTACAAACACTGTGTCCACTCACTGTCCACTCTAATAGACTATATATACACTATATATATACACACACAAACACTTTTTTAAAGAAGATGGCTCTTCCAGGGTTCCCTAGTACAGACAGAACCATGAACACTCAAAAAACCCTTTGCATAATTACATAGTTCTCTGCATGGTGAAATGGCTCTTCAGATTGATGGATAATAGGTTGTAGAACCTTTTTGAAAAGGGATCCCTATAGCACCAAAAAGGGTTCTTCTGTTGTATACAATGTTGACATCGTAACAACAGCAGAACCTATTTTGGCTCTATATAGAACCATATACAACACATTCACTATCAATCTGAAGAACAATTTCACCATGCAGAGAACCATTTAAGCATGCAAATGGTTCTTTGAGTGTTCATGGTTCTATATAGAACCACTGTCTTTACTAAAGAACCCTTGAAGAACCATTTTTTAAAAAGTGCACAATTAAAAGTTAAAAAGCAGTTTTAAAGCTCTAAATGACCTTAAAGCTCCTGACCGTCTGTTTGTTTATGATCTCAGATCTGCAGATTCTGACCTTCTGAACTCCTTCAGTAAAACACAGAAAACGTGGAGAGACTCTTTCAGTTATTCTGCTTCTAAACTGTGGAGCTCAGTTCAGGCTTTATTAGACAGTCGAGCTCAGAGCTCACTTTTAATAAACACCTGAAAACACAGCTCTTTAACTCAGAGCTTCAGTAAAACTCTACGACTCTTTAACTCAGAGCTCCAGTAAAACTGTACAGCTCTTTAACTCAGAGCTTCAGTAAAACTCTACGACTCTTTAACTCAGAGCTTCAGTAAAACTCTACGACTCTTTAACTCAGAGCTTCATTAAACTCTACGGCTCTTTAACTCAGAGCTTCATTAAACTCTACGACTCTTTAACTCAGAGCTTCAGTAAAACTCTACGACTCTTTAACTCAGAGCTTCAGTAAAACTCTGCGACTCTTTAACTCAGAGCTTCATTAAACTCTACGGCTCTTTAACTCGGAGCTTCAGTAAAACTCTACGACTCTTTAACTCAGAGCTTCAGTAAAACTCTACGACTCTTTAACTCAGAGCTTCATTAAACTCTACGGCTCTTTAACTCAGAGCTTCATTAAACTCTACGGCTCTTTAACTCAGAGCTTCATTAAACTCTACGACTCTTTAACTCAGAGCTTCAGTAAAACTCTACGACTCTTTAACTCAGAGCTTCAGTAAAACTCTACGACTCTTTAACTCAGCTTCAGTAAAACTCTACGACTCTTTAACTCAGAGCTTCATTAAACTCTACGACTCTTTAACTCAGAGCTTCAGTAAAACTCTGCGACTCTTTAACTCAGCTTCAGTAAAACTCTACGACTCTTTAACTCAGAGCTTCAGTAAAACTCTACGACTCTTTAACTCAGAGCTTCATTAAACTCTACGACTCTTTAACTCAGAGCTTCAGTAAAACTCTACGACTCTTTAACTCAGCTTCAGTAAAACTCTACGACTCTTTAACTCAGAGCTTCAGTAAAACTCTACGACTCTTTAACTCAGAGCTTCATTAAACTCTACGACTCTTTAACTCAGAGCTTCAGTAAAACTCTGCGACTCTTTAACTCAGAGCTTCATTAAACTCTACGACTCTTTAACTCAGAGCTTCATTAAACTCTACGGCTCTTTAACTCAGAGCTTCAGTAAAACTCTACGACTCTTTAACTCAGAGCTTCAGTAAAACTCTACGACTCTTTAACTCGGAGCTTCATTAAACTCTACGACTCTTTAACTCAGAGCTTCATTAAACTCTACAGCTCTTTAACTCAGAGCTTCATTAAACTCTACGACTCTTTAACTCAGAGCTTCATTAAACTCTACGACTCTTTGGTCTTTATCTCTTTGATCTGATCTGTCATTGTCTGATATGATTTTAAATTAATACTCATAGTTTCTTGTATCACTGTTAAGCTTTATCACCTGACTGTAAAGCACTCTGAGCTGCATCCGGCATAAAAAGTGGTAAATAAATAAAAATTATTATTATTATTATTATTATTATTATTATTACATAAACCTGGTAAAAAAAAATACCTCTTTCATTTAGACCACTGCACTCATCATCTAAAACACTCACCTACAGTCATGTGCAAAAGTTTGTGCGCCCTGGTCGAACTCCATGTATTTGTTGTTTTCTTAAGTGTGAATAAGTTAACACGTCCTCTAGAGAGAACACACTTCTGCACATTTTAATACACAATTACTGTTTATTTACCGAATTTAACACACTGAGGGAAAAAAATAAAACATAAATTGTGGCCTGTGCAAAAGTTCTGACACATTTTACATTTTAAAAATAACAATAATTATTATCATTATTATTATTAATAGTTTTAAACGTAGAAAATATGTTCAGTATGTTAAACTTAGAAAACTAACAAAACGTAATTTGACTGGGTGGGTGTTTAAACTTTTGCACGCGACTGTACAGGCTGAGTCTCAATACACAGCGAGCTGTCTACACAAAGAATATTTTAAATGGAAATTCCACCCATCTTTCAAAATTTAATCTGTATAATTAAATGGATATGATGTAAACAGAGTCGTTCAGAGTGGTTGGGTGTGAAACGCTCTGTTCTAGAGAAACTTACTGAGTCAGAACTGTTCACAGTGGTGGTGATAGGAACCAGACGTCCACCTCTAAAAGCTCCCTCACAGCAATACCTGACTATTAGGCAGTGAGTAGCGCCGTAATCTGCAATTTGTGATAATTACATGTAATATTTTTTTCTTTGAAGAATTGTGCACAATGCAGCGTCAAGAGTAGCTTCAGGTTTTAGTTCTAGGTTCTCCTACCTGTGGCTCAGAGGTTCCTCCGGTTCTCCAGCTGTTTGTTGCTGTCGGTGCAGCTGTAGTGAAGTCCCGCTTAATGCACTGTAACGGATGAGCAGGTGAACAGGGCTCTACAGGTGAACAGGTGCGTCTCTTCTCTTCTGATAATCCTGACTGTGTTTATTATTGTTTATATTCCAACAATGTTTAATTATGCAGTAAAGACACACACTGTCATTTATCACTGCCGAAACTGGAACGCTGCTACAAGAGGCTGAGAAAATAGCCTCTCTACACTCTCTCTTCCCTCTTTCGCTCTACTCCTCCCTTCCCCTCCCTTCTCTCTCTGATTACTCCCTTCTCTCTCTCTCTCTCTCTCTCTCTCTACTCCTCCCTTCTCTCTCTCCCTCTCTCTTTACTCCCTTATCTCTCTCTCTCCCTTCCCCTCCCTTCTCTCTCTCTCTCCCTTCCCCTCCCTTCTCTCTCTCTCTCTCTCCCTTCCCTCCTATCTCTCTTCTTTCTCGTTCTCTCTGTCTCTTCTCCACCCATTTCTCTCTCACTGTCCTCTCTCTCTCTCTCTCTCTCTCCCCTTTCTGTTTCTCGTACTCTCTTACCCTTCTCCACCCTTCTCTCTCTCTCTCTCTCTCTCTCTCTCTCTCTCTCTCTCTCTACATTGTTATTGTCTATGTTGGTTGTCCCTGAGGGTTCTGTTGTAAGGCTGTAAGGCCGTTCAGGTGTTTCTGAGCTGCTCGAGCGCATCTGTGAGCTCTGCGGTGCAACAACGAACCTTTAGTGACACACTAAACTTAAAATATATCTAAAATATACTAAACATTAATATAACATAGACTTAACAATAATCTAAAATAGATTAAACATTAATATAACAGATTAAATATTAATATAACATAGACTAAACATTAAAATAACAGACTAAACATTAATCTAGAATAGACTAAACATTAACTTGTGAACAGACAGGGTCAAATGTGCATCCCTGAAAAAATTGGGCTTATTTTGCACAAATTTTAAGGCTATCCTGATTTTTCTCTTGTGGCCGCTATATTTGGGATGGAATTTCTGGCTTTGGTCCACACGAACATAACTAGAGATAAAAGACAGCTAAAATTACTCAACTTACTTTGGAAGAGAAAAAACGTGACCTAAACAAAGTTGATAAAATAGGCTGAGATCCTTATACAGATCCTTATATATTTCCCCTGAACTCCTGATCCCATTTAAACTGGTGGAAAATTTGTGTTTTCCTGACGTTTATTTTTATCTCATACTCAGCCCCACACCTATTCTGGAGAGTCTCTCACAGCATTTAAAAGCACAGAAGCCCACCGGCTCTTCATGTCAGGGTGGGTAAAGGATCCCATGGTGTTCATAAAGAGGAGAAAAACTCTGATCATAGGAGAGTAACGACATCAGCTAATTAACACAGATGTAAACAATGCTAGCCTTTAGATAACTTTAGCTGATGTTAACAGCCGAGAGATGAACAGTCGCCCCCTAACGGAGCTGCAGACAGCCGGTATAACTTCACTCTCTGTTTCTGATTTAAATGACGTTTGAATGGAGAAACATAATCGTTAAATATCAGACTGAATGTCGTGGGGCGGAAAACGACGTTGTGTTTCGACAGACGTGATTCTGTAAGTTTGCTAGTGCAGTTAGTTCAGAGTTCAGCTCCAGTCCTGAAACCCCTGCACTGCATTACTGTGGTTTCCTGGTTAAAATACTTGATATTATTAGCTAATTAATCCCTTCTTGAGCTGAACGAGGTGAACAGCAGAGAGAAACACTGAACTATACAGTGCAGGGGCTCCAAACCTGGAGTGAAAACTCTGAATTAAAGGTCTGTGTGTCTCTCGGCTTCTGTCGCGTCTCGCAGGTGGATCGTTAATGAAGCACAGCTAATTGAAGGCATCATGCAGTGCAGTCAATCCCTGATTCGGTCCCCAAAATGGTGGTGACTATACAGTGTGACGTCACACAAAATGTGTGAATATTATATCATCGCTGTCGAGACAAAACCTCGTATCTCCATTTTTGTTGGTTGCTATATTCACCAATCAAAAATGGCAGCTGTCTTTTACATGCATATTTCAATATATTTCAATATTTCATGATGAATGAACCAATAGAAATGTTCCAGAACTGCATCTCTTTATGTTAACATGCATTAACAGTTGTGAGTGTTTTTCCTTCTCCTGTAAGTTCCTGTTTCAGAGAGATGAGGTTTGGTTCCAGCAGTGAAAGTATGGTAAATAATAAGATAATTCTTAATGATAATAATGAAGGGGAATGTAGGAGGGCGTCCTTTAGGAGGGGTGGTGGATTCGGAGGTTGTGCTGTCCAGGTGCGTCACTGCACACTTTGCACGATTCTTGCAAATTCAGCCGTTAAGTTTCATCTCCAGTTGGAGGTGAGTGCAGTGCGACTGCTCAGTGTGTAATGAAGGTACACTGTAGAAAAATGTGGTTCTTCAAAGGTTCTTTAGTAAATACAGTGGTTCTATACAGAACCATGAACAGTCCAAGAACCATTTGCATGCCTAAATAGGTTCTTTGCATGGTGAAATGGTTCCTTAGATTGGAAAATATGTTATATATGGTTCTATATAGCACCAAAAAGGGTTCTGCTATTGTTATGATCTGAAGCTTGCAATAATATATTGCAATAATGAGCTATATATAGAACCATCTACAACACATTCTCCATCAATCTGAAGAACCATTTCACCATGGAAAGAACCATTTAAGCATGCAGTGGGTTCTTTGAGTGTTTATGGTTCTATGTAGAACTACTGTCTTTATTAAACAATCCTTGAAGAACCACCTAGAACATTTATTTGTCACAGTCAAGCTATTTTTCAGAGATCCTGATGCCAAATCTTCTTACAGTACAGTTTAAAAGTCCATTGCCAGTCAAAACAGTCATTAAGTACCATTTATTGATTTTCAGCTTTAAGAAATAAAAGCTTTCAGATGTCTTCAGATCTGAAGCAGCTTGATTTTCTCCTCTCTCTCAAAGATGAAAGCTTTAAGTGCTGTTTATCTGATGGGGGCAGTTTTGGGGTCTACCAGCTCTTCCAGGGGGTGTTAGGAGATTTTAATCAGTTTTACTTAATGTCTATTTTTGTACTTTATATTTCAGCTTTTTTAAACGTTATATACATATATTTCTTCAAGTATATATATATATATATATATATATATATATATATATCAATTTACATAGTGTACACACTTGAAAATAATGGTTCTTCAAACTGATGGAGAACATGCTGTGGATGGTTCTATACAGAACCTTTTTGAAAAGGGTTCTAAATAGCACAAATAAGGGCTCTTCTATTGTTACAAGCTTGACATCGTAACTATAGAAGAACCCTTTTTGGTGGTATATAGAACGCTTTTCAAAAAGTTGCATGTTTCATGTTGCAGAGAACCCTTTAATCATGTACAGGGTTCTTTGAAAGTTCGTGGTCCTATATATAACCATTTTTTTAAACTAAAGAAATACAGAAGGACCATCTTTTTTAAGAGTGTAGTTATTTAAATGTAACTGCAAAATTAATCACATAGTTTCGTAATTGCGTTTGCATTCCGTTTCCTTTCTGTATTAAGAACTTTGTAGTTTTAATGTTATAAAAATGACAAAAATGTAAAATATGTCTTTCTTTGTGCACAACAAGACAATTTAATAATCATGATAAAGTGTCTCCTCTTTTACTCACAAACACTAATGTGGTCTGGATTGAAAGTTTGGAATCTGTACTTTCCACACAGTTTCTCCATCTGTGTTGCTGAACGAGTCAGAAATGATTAAACAGAATTACAGAATGGAGCAGGAGGTGTTTAATGATGTGAACTCCAGGAGGACTAAATGCAAACAATTCAAAACATTCATGATAATGAACAATGTGGGCTCTCTTCATCTCTTTACCCGGACTCAGGCTTTGGAATCGTCCATCCCATGAGGGTCAGGGGTCACGCAGAGGGTCATGCGGAGTCACAGAAGGGTCGCGTGGTGATATGTGACCCCCGGCCCCTCCCTCTGATCTTGGGGTTCCTGCTGACGGTAAGCTGAGCCGTTTCCTGTCCCACGAACATGCTGTTCCCTTACCCACGATTCATTGCCAAGACCGAGGGGGGCACTGACACCTGCTACACACACACACACACACACACACACACACACACACACACACTCTGCTAGAAGGGAACGGCTTCATGAACCAGTTTACAGACCACAAATATGACCAACAGCTGAACACAGAGTCACTGAGACGTATTTAACCCTGCAGCCTCAGTTCAGTCCAGCTGATTACATGTAGTGACTGTTTCAATGTCTTAAAGACATTTTAATCTAAATGTTTATGCATAAACTATCCTAAGACACGTATATGAGGAGTAGGAGTATACTCCGATAGGAGTTGACTCTTTCGGCTCCCAAGCGACTCTTTATTCAACATCACTGTCCGGTTTTAATTAACCAAGTTACCACCTTCATCTACTTCCTAATGAATAAAAATTGCATTATGTTTGTTGTAAAAAAAAAAAAAAAGTTGGTAAGTAGTTTGACTGGATGGAATTTGAAAGGTGGGACTCACAAGACAATCAGTCGAGCAAAATGCAGGCAAAACCACCAACAAACGAAGCAGGTTAGACTCAGAAATCAGAATAACTAGCGAGGCACACTTGGAAACACGGCCGAGAACAGAAAAGCAGGTGTTGGGGATAAAAAGAGGGAGGAATTTTGTTTGGGGGTTTGTTTTGTCTTAATAAAAAAAAAGGCTTCTAAAAGATTCATCCGATTCCAAAGCACCATATTTTTACAACCATGAGGCGCCTAGGAACCAATCACAATCCAACTGAAAGTGGGGGTCATAGGGTTTCTGACTGTCAGTGGAAGATGGCTCCCTTCAGTCTGAGAGGAGATGAGACCCCTGAGCAGAAAGCGTTCTGCGTTCTCCACTTCAATAAGAGTGAATCCATCATGACTGTGCAGTGTAATTTTCGTCAGCAGTGAACCTCCAACAGCTCAGAGCGTTCGTCGTTGGTTCCACAATATATATATATATACTGTCAGACCTAAAACTCATATCTCCAAAATAGGTGGAGGGTTTGTTCTGACAGCAGCGACATATATATGTGTGTATATATATATATATATATATATATATATATATATATTTACACACTCTAAAGGGCAGCTTACGTTTTCAAATTCTGTAAAAAATGAAATGGACATTAATTAAATGAATTGCGTCAAAAGTGCCAATTGTAAACTTTCAATTTGTACCACATTTGCATTTGTAAGTAGAAGAGGTGATTTTTTTAGGATTGG